CATCTTAAGACTTGCATGTGTGGTGCAAGTGTCATCTTAAGACTTGCATGTGTGGTGCAAGTGTCATTTTAAGACTTGCATGTGTGGTGCAAGTGTCATCTTAAGACTTGCATGTGTGGTGCAAGTGTCGTCTTAAGACTTGCATGTGTACCTCCTCTTGAGTAGCTCTAGTTGGTCCTCGAACTGCTTGAGCAAAATGAGAGATGTGTCTAAGTCCCACTTGAAGACCCAGCAATTCTGAAGCAGTATTTTTTATTATTTAATTAGCTTTAGAAGTCTCTTAGTTAGAGATGGTGTTGGAGTTTGAACCATGTGGTACTTGACAGTGGTTAGAAACACTGCAGAAAGTATGTTCTTATGCAGAAATAATTTGGATGCTGGAGAGAGACTCTTCATCAGGGACTGTAGTGATAGGACAAGGGGAGATGGGTTAAAACTGAAACAGGGGAAGTTCAGGTTGGATATAAGGAAGAAGTTCTTCCCTGTGAGGGTGCTGAGGTGCTGGCACAGGGTGCCCAGAGAAGCTGTGGCTGCCCCATCCGTGGCAGTGTTCAGGGCCAGGTTGGACACGGGCTTGGGCAACATGGTCTGGTGTGAGGTGTCCCTGCACTAGACTAGACTGGGTTGGAACAGGATGAGCTTTAAGGTCCCTTCCAACTCATGCCAGTCTGGGATTTTTTATTTTTTTTTTTAATTTTTTTTGAAAGATTTGTGAGGGACTGATTACAAAATCACTGTCCGGCTTCTCTCCTTCTGTTTTGTGCCAGAAATCCCTCTTTGAGAGGGGCAAGGAGTCCCTGGAGTCGGAGTTCCGCAGCCTGATGACCCGACACACCAAGCCAGTGCCACCCATCCTCATCCTGGACCTGATCAGTGGGGATGATGAGATGGAGCCTCAGGAGGAGATGTTTCTGGAGCACCTCCCAGAGGGTGTCCTGCATGATATCATCCGCATTTCTGGCTGGCTGGTGGAAAATGGCAGGAATCAAGGTTAGGGCTGCCTGGTGTTCCCTGGTAGTGGTGTATTGGGGGAGTGCTCTCCAGCTACTTACAACGTGTGGTTGAGACCACAAGTAGGGTGTTGAGGGTTGTGTGTAGCACTGCACAGCTTGGCTTGTAGATCAGCCATGAAGCTTCTGCTCATGTGCTGCTGTGGTTAACAAACCCCCAGGCACACTGCTGTTGGAAGCAGCGCCAGGAAAACTAGTGGCTGCCTCTGGCACCTTGGAGGTGATAATTCAGTCTTCTTCCAGAAACCTGAAGATCCCACTTGTTTACAGTGTTTGGAGTGCAACTGAAGTAATCGTTTATCAGTTACAAAGTGATCTCCTGGGGGATATGATGAGAGAAAGATCTGGATGAAGAAAGCACAGTTTATCTTAGTGCCTAGTCTGTCGTATAGCAGAAAGCCATTTAACTTGCAACTCTAATGCGTCCTGATGGAGCTGCAGCTATCTAGTGCTCAGGTATTATTAATGTGCTAGACACTGGTCACTTATTCCCATCTGGGAACTATTTATGAATGGATTAAATGTGACCAAGGGCAGGGAGAAAGCAGCCCAGAGATTTTCTTCAGTCAGTACATCTTTATTGTTCTGCAGCATCAAAATCTGCCTGCAGCTTTATACTCCTTTATTAACTTTTCCTGTGGGAGTGATTGACTTAGTGGAATTGTTACAGGAAAACCTGTATTTCACATACATGGAGCTCCTAGAATCACCCCACCTCAGTCATTTACTTCAGAGTGGGGATTACTGTGCTTACCAAGTACGACAAACATCTTTAAAAGCTTCTTAAGGATTTGTCCATGATCAAAGGCAACTCAAGCATGTGTAGCATAGTTTGTCAGTCAGTTTGTGTTCTGCTTTTAAATAATGAACACCTCATTTAGTTCCTGAGCACCCTGAATCCTGAGAAGTGTGTAAAGCCTCTTATCCTACAAACTGAGCCCTTGAGTTGGCAGTCTTGCACAGATGTCTCCCATCAGTTCCACAGCTGATGTGCTCTTGTAGCAGTGCACAGACTTAATGTGTGTGGTGGGAGAGCTGGAATGAATACTGCAGAGGAGGGAAGAAGTTGGGGTTTTGGAGAGGCTCTGTGAGGGGAAAAACATTTCCTTGGGGCCCCACATCAATGCTAATAAGTCCCCTTAAGGGCACAGAATGTTTCAGGAGAGGTTTGGCTCCCCATACTGTTCTCTGTTTGCTTAATACTCTTGTTTCTGCCTTGTCTCTGTAGATTTCATGACAGTTTACTTCCAAATCCGCTCGGTCCAACTTGACCGCTCCATCAAGGGGCTGAAGGACCATTTCCGTAAGAACAGCTCCTCCACAGGGGTTCCCTATTCCCCTGCCATCCAGAACAAAAGGAAGGACACTCCCACCAAGAAGCCAGTCAAGAGACCAGGTGAGTCCCTAAAGTGGGGGATCACTGCACTGTGTATCCTCTTGGCTGGGTATGGAATGCCTTCTCTCTGCTGAGGTAGCCTTTGTGTCTAAAATGTGCTTTCAGGACAGGAGCAGGGGTAAGATTTTGGAGGTGAGCACCTCTTCTCTGCCCTGGGTTCAGCATTTTGATGACAGATGTTTTCTGTCTTCTTGTCAAGTCCTCAGACCTGTTCTCTGGGAGGAGAGTGAGGTCCTGTATACAGAGAGAGAAAAGGTCATTGCCTTAACAAAGGAGATGAGTAAAAAGAGACCTGAGAGGGCTCTAAGAGACTTACGATCTGAGAACACCTGTCCTCAGCCTTGGAGTAGGGCATATAGATTGTGCCACAGGAAACCACAAAACTCAGGTCTGATAAAACACATCACTTGAATCGTTAGTTATGAATAAACTAGTGCTGGGAAACCAAGAACTGGTTAGGAGCTGAGATGGAGTCTAGGGAGGTGCCTACAGAAATGAGATCCAGCGTTGACTGAATTTTGGAAGGGCTGCTAAAGGCTTTTGCCTTGGCCTGTTTTTGGAAGAGCCATGTCTGAGGCTGGTGGGTTATTCCACCTCTCCAACTCATCATGGAGTTCTGCTGCATGTTCTGCAGCTGGTGAGACCAGTCACTCCACTGTACTGGAGTGTGGAGCTGGAGTTCCCATCTCTGAAATGTGCCATCTAGTGGGAGCACGTCCAGAAGGAGGGTACCAAAAGCTAATGTGTGCCTTCGACAGCAGCACAGTGAGGTTGTCCCTCTGTGTGTCACAGCACCCTGTTTTTTTTCCTTCATAATAGTGATGAAAGTCAGGAAAGTTCATATTTTTGTGGGTTTACATGGGCAAGACTCTCCCACCCTCATATTTTTTTCCTGTGTTGTCCAAATGTTCTTGCTGGGTTTCAGGAAAATAACAGCAATGTGGGTAGGGCCTAGGAATGGATGGGGTGGGGAAAGGGAGGGAAAGAAATACCCATTTTAATTGTTTTGTGTTTATTTTTATAATCCTGCTGTGAATGCAGTCCTCATCCCAGGTAATGTGTCTGTGTGTGTTTGCTGGCCCTGGGGCTCTTCACTTCTCTGTGTAGAGATGCTTTGCTGGGCCTCTTCTTGCTAAAGCAGAGGGTGTGCCTGGGATATTTGCAGAGGAAGGGCTGCCTGGGGGAGTTTGGACAGCCAGAGATCACCCCTCTGGTTGTTTAACATCAATCTGTTCCCTTTCTGCTGTGCCCTGGAGCTGTTCCTGAAAGCTGGAGTGGGAGTTGCAATTGGGGGATGCAGTCAGGCTGAACTTCAGTGGGGTTTCTCTTGCCAGCAGAGAACCACCTGACCAGGGGATGTCTCTCTTGGCTGTGCTCTGGGGTTTATCAGGTAGTTACTTGAGTAAGAATTTGCCAACAGTGTTTGGAGATCTGTGGAGGACAGTATCCTCCTGCTGCAGATGGCAGAAACCAGGGTTTAAAATTGCTCCTAAGCATGGTGACAGTCATTAGTGTCAGTAGCTCCTACCCAACAGCATGATTACCACAGGTAAAGGCTATTTTTATGTGGTTCAGTAGCTCTTTTCTGGAAAAGATGCCCCATGGGATCTGTAGATGAGCCATTGGGTTGTGGGTGCTTCAGGTTTGGTCCACAGTGCTCAATTACCACCTGATGCTGAAGAGATCTCTGGGTTTTGATTGCTGTGAGGTCAACATGATCAGTAAATATTTCTAGGCAGCCTGCCAAATGGTGACATCTCTCCTGTGCTCTGGGTAAATAGAGATGGAGGAGAGGGTTTCATCATGGGCAGATAGAAATAAAACCAAGCACTAGGATATTTTATGGGTCTCAGCTCTTGGATGCTCACAGAGAGAGTACGGAAAGGAGCCCACATGTTTGAGAGCACAAGCATTTGTCCCCACAAACAGGGCTCCTCCAAAATGGATGCATTTGGGTGTGGAATATTCCTTGTCATGATGAGTGTCTCTGCTGTAAATTTACCAGGAGATTTTCACACCTCTTTGCCCAGTTTCATTGGAGTTTTTGAGGTGGGACAGATAGAAGACAGTGAGCAGGTCTGGATGCATTTAGAGAGCTGACAGTGACAGAAGGAGCATTTCAAGTCATCTGTCGGGGTATTGTTCATCTCAAGAAAAACTAGTGGCTAATTTGTCTTCAGTTTTCCATGAACAAGGACAGACTGTAGCTCAAAGGGGTGGTTAAACCTCATGCACCAGCCATCTCTTATGGCTACTAAATTGTACTTAAGTGAAATTAAAAACTGAGGAAAAAATAGTCTTTGAGCAGAGATTCCCAGGTTTTCCTGCAGTCCCATCAGATTTCAAGGACAGCTCTTGAGGTCTTTATCCTCTTTGCACTGGCACAGTGGCCCTCTTCATAGCAATATTCATCTGGTGGTGTTTAATTTTGCTGGTTTTAGCCCATGTTCAATCATGGAAAAAGAACTGGTTTTCTGTACTGTCGCTTCAGTAAGTAAGTCAAGTTCTGCCAATTTGCATTTCAGACGAGGGGTATTCTGATGGCTCCACTGAGTGGGTTGATTTCCATAGTCCTTAAGGAAGAATATCCCATTGCACACCCCAACGCACACTTTAACCTATTGCAAGGGAAAAATAACAAGCTAAATCTGATGTGCTATAACTTCTTTGCCCACAAAGCACAAGAGAGCCTACAGGTAAAGGGCAGGTGAGGTACTGGGGACAGGGTAGCAAGGCAGAGACATCCCCCTTCTGTTCCCCAGGTACTATGCTGGATTGTGGAGAACTTGTTCCATATCCATGTGTTGTTTCAGAGGGTCTTCATCCCTCTGTTGTGGTTTTATTTGTTGGTGTATCCTGTACTATCTCCTGATTTACAGCAAGTAGTTGGAAACCTCGCTGCTGAAGATGCTGGAGATGCTTCTAAAGCAAAGTTGTCTCCTCTTAAATGAAACTTGCCAAGTCGAGTTGAATTCATGGAGCAATCTGTGGGCTTGGTTTTTAGTAGTTTGCTATTTGAAATGTTATCAGTGTATTCAGATTCCCAAATCAGCCTCCTGCAAACATATGCAGATCAAATATTTATTCTTTGGGGTGCCTGTAGACCCAGTGGTCTGTTCTTGGCTGGAGAGCAGCAGGTAGCTGGGAAGCTCTTCATTGCCAGGGAAGGATAGGGCCAGAAGGTAGCAGGCTGGCTGCCTGCAAGCAAAAGGCAGGGAGCTTCAGCCAGTTTTGTGCAGCCTCCTGCAGCTGGTGCTTAAGAAGAGGGCATCCAAACCCTTCTGCTTTCTGCTTGATTATAAAACTCCCTAATGGAAGAGAGTAACAGAAGAACAAGGTACAATCTGAAAACTGTGCCTCATGTATGCCCAAAACCCACTTTAACAACTGGGCCCCAGGAGCAAATGTTTCAGGTGTTTTTTGACTTTTGGGGGCTCTTTTTAAGCTATAGAGAGCGCTTTCCCAGTGTACCTAGGGCTCCAGTTTACCCAGCAGTGTGGTGCTACCTGAAAGCAGGCTGTGGAGTCTTTGTGCAGCTGAATAAAGAGCCTGCTCCTGCTTCCCACTTCCCATACTGATTGCTGCCTGGCTTGAATGTGATGTTTTCATTAGCAGCTGAAGCACAGTCCCATTTGGTTTGGAACTGCTTAATAGGGAAAACCAATCATGGAACAAAAGTTTTGGCTTCCCCTAGAATCCATTAAAGCCTAATTACAGTGCTAAGAGAGAGGGATGGAGCAGCACTGAAGGGATGCCCAGGAACAAACACAGGTAATTGTGTTGTGCAAATAACACAGCAGAGGTTTCAGCTCTCATCTGAGAAGGAACTGTTGGGTGTGCTGTGGAGACATGCTCTGCATACCTGTGAAGTGAGAGCCTGTTGACACCAGCAGTTGTACTCTCTGCTTGGGTTTCATGCCAGTTTGCCCTCTTTTTATTCTTTATTTTTTTCCTTCTCCACCTGGATGCTAGAAAGTGGGAAAGACGAAAGAACTGGTAGAAGAACAGTGCCTGGGTTGAGCTGCTCTGCATCAGCTGGGCCATGGTGACAGCAGTAAGAGCGAGCTTAGTACATATCTCCAGAGCTTGCTACAACCCTGCTTGCTCAGAGGAACTTGTGCCCAAGCTCTTCAGGTTTCTGCAAGTAGCTAAGAATAAAGTAGAAGTGTTGGGTGTGAAGAGCACTGGGAAGCTTGGAGGAAGAGGCACAGCCCTCCTTTGATCATATGGCAGAAGGCAGGAGCAAATGCATCAGCACAGCAAGGGTGTAAAGTCTTCCCACCTCCCTCCTGTGGGTCTAGAGGGGAAGAATGTGTTTTATGGATATGATGTTTTTTTTCTTTACTAAATGGTTGAGAACACTCTAAACTTAGAAGAAAGATACTGCCAGTGAAACACTACACTTTAGGAATCATGTGCTGTTGTTTAGTGAGTGCACCAGGTTAAGGCAGCTTGGTAGCTCAGTGGGAACTTCTCTCTCCTGTTCTTCCCCATTAGAGATGCACTGGGGGAAGTTTCCATCTCCCTGCCTTATATCCTTGTATGGATTGAAGCTGTCCTGCACACCAGGATGCTGTCCTGCAGCAGTGTGTGCTTGGGCATCCCCTCAGGATAGTGGTCCTCAATGTTTGGGCAGCCAGCACCATTTCCAGGCTGCACTGTGACTCAGTCACTGGTGGAAGCAGGGATTTTCTGCATGTTTGAAGGATTTATTTCTTTTAAGTGGAAGAACAATTCTTAATTTTGGCAGCAGCGTTTTTAATTCTTGGATCCTTCTTCATTTACTCAGTTCTGTTTCATCTGAGTCTCCTATAGAAACTCCTTCCATCTTCCCAAAACTTTCTGTTCCCTGTTGCGCAGGCAACAGCGAAGCTCTGCTCCGAGAAGGTGTCCATGTGCTTGTGCTAATTGTAGCTTCTTGCATGAGGACTAACCTTTGAATGTGGAAACATTGTCTTCAGTTGTCACATTAATGCTTTGTTTTGTGCTGTCTAGCTGTATAGCCAGCGCTGGCTTTTTGTTCAGTTCTGTCTGGTTTTTGTGTGCGTGAAGTATAAATCTTTTAACCCAGTGTTATGTTGTGTTTGTTTTTTTCCATGGTTTGAATTGATTTGCAGTTCCTTAGAAGAGAAGTGGCTTTGGGGGTTAGGGGGACGTAATGCCAGTTAGACATGGGTGGGCAGCATCCATTATGCTGGGATTCCTGGGATGGGAATTGCTGTCTCGAGCCCAGAGGTTGTCACCATTTTATTGCTTCCTGTAACACCAGAGATCATTCCTCATCTTGGCTGTGGGGCTCCTGATGGGTCTGTATTGATTCTGCTCAGAAAATCCCCCTTGGAAAAGCACCTCTTGCTGCAGCTATAACCAAGTGGCTGCAGTTGTGGCTCTGGGGAGCAGAGCCACAATTGCCTGTTGGTATTGCAAAGCCCTGCTTCCAAAGCTGAGGAAAACCAATGACCTTGTATGCTTGGATGCAGAGTACCAGCTTAAACTCCTTCCAGGGAAGGGTGCTTCAGTGCTTCCCTTCTCTGCACCTCACCAAACCGATTGAGCACCTCCTGATTGAGGGAGTCTCTCCTTGTGAGGCCCTGGCACAGGGTGCCCAGAGAAGCTGTGGTTGCCCCATCCCTGGCAGTGTTCAAGGCCAGGTTGGACACAGGGGCTTGGAGCAACCTGCTCTAGTGGAAGGTGTCCCTGCCTGTGGCAGGGGATTGGAATTGGATGAGCTTTAAGGTCCCTTCCAACACAAACCAGTCCATGATGATTCTGTAACCCTGGCTGGAATTGATGCTTAGGGAAACAGACTGCAAATGCCATTGGATCTGCACACTTGGACATGAGCTTGGGGTTCACATTCCTGTACTGAGCATTCTCATTGGTGCCCAGGTGACTTGCTGGTGGAGGGCTGGTGGTCTGGGTTTGTTTTCTTTCACTCATTTTCTAGGTCTTCTTGTCTCTTCTCTCTGGCTCTGGTGACAGGCACGATCCGTAAGGCTCAGAACCTTCTGAAACAGTACTCTCAGCATGGTCTAGATGGGAAAAAGGGGGCCTCTAACCTCATTCCTATGGAAGGTAATCACAGCTTTAGCTACTTCACCCTTGACTTTCTCTGTGTATCAGCCTTGCTTTTTCAGGTGGGACTTCCATTACCCTAGTGCTTGGTGGCCAGCATTGGATAGGTGCAGATCTCCCTGGGAACCAAGGAGATGCTGGAGAGCCAAATTATTTGTTTGAGTTCAGTCTCTGACTTTCAAAGTCTCCATAAGCATGAATACAGGTGGAGAGGAATGTGACCTTAAAGCAGTGGACCCACCAGAGCCACCTGGCTAATGGAAGCTCTGCTTTGATGACATCTGCTTGTGGTGTTTCTGTTCTCTTTTCTTTTTGTCTGGACTTTGAGACATTCAGTTTCCTGGTGACCCTTCCAAACCTGATGCTGAAATGTCAGACCACAGCCTAGTTCAGTGCATCATGTGTGAAGTTCACCTCAGTTCATCTCTGTGAATACCTCCCTAAATAGTTGTCTTCCATATTCTGATCTCCTGCTTATAGAGGTTGTACCAGATAAGGGGAAGAGGTCACTTGCTTCAAAGCATCTAAGGCCTTTCTGCCTCCTGCTATGTATGCATCCAAAGTAGATCTCTTCAGCACCTACACTGTAGTCTACTAAATCCCAGATGGTGACTAACATCACTCATTTTGGGGGGAAAAATCCTTGTGCTGAGCAGGAGATGGGCTTTGAATTTGGATTTGTTGTGGGTACAGATGGGACTTCTGGGGCCTGCTGTCCCATTCAGAACTGACATCAGGAGGTTCAAGGGACTCCCGTGGCCCAACAAATGGCTTGACTCACACTTCTCATCAGGTTTCAAAGGGTTGCTACTGCTGCATAGCACAACAGAGGGATTTGGTCAGGTAGCATTCCTGGGACTGTAGGGCAAAATAAGTGTCCATAAGCTCAAATAAGACAAGCTTGAAGCAGCTTCCAGCCAGTGTGAGCATCCATCCATGCTGTAACCACCTGGATAAATTGCGCCTTCTGTTTGTGCCGGCTGCCATCTCCTTAGGTCATGAGCATGACTTACGGGTTAAACACCTTTCCGATGCCCTGAGTGACAAGCATGGGCCAGCTGCTGGTAAGTACCCTGTTGTAACTTCACACCAAGCTGGCTAACATCCCTTCTCTCCAGCATGTTCACAGTAGTTCTGTAGACAGTGGCTGTTCATGGGCAGTCCTGGAGCATGGGCCTTCTCTGGCTAAGAAGCTCTGGCTCTTCTCAGTAGAATTCACTCCTACTAATCACACGCCCCCCAAGCCTTCAAAAAGGGAACCCCAACTTTGTCCAAGCAAAGACTGGGAGCCACCATGCTGAGAGGCACTTTTCTATAGGTAGCTACTGGCTTGTTTGGTGCTGCAGTGAAGCAGACAAGAAAGGGATTACCTGCAGCATGCAGTAGCGGGCCACTCTTCACTGTAGGCACTCTGTAAAACAACACATTTGGGTGTCCCCTGCTGATCAGAACTTTGAAAAGCTT